GCGAAAGTTATGGATTTTAGAAGTTTTTGCACAAAAACCGAGAAATTTCGCATAAGTGGCTTCGGCCACGTCACCCTCGCCCAAAATGTGACACGTGTCCGAAATGGTTGAGTCATCCGAGTAGCTGGCAGTCGCGTGTCGCTTCCGGATTCGACCGAAGTCTCGGCCCTCGCACATCCGACGCGTGTCGCACAGGTGTCCGAGCCGGAGACCCAGCCAATGACACATCCGAAGCCGGTGACTCCTCGCTTCCGAAGTGTGCCAGCTGCCGCGTCCGAGCCTCCCTGCTGCTGCCACGTGCTCGCTTCCTAGCCTCCAGAGTCCGAACCTCGGCCCTATAAATAGAAGGGCTGCGAGATCTTCCGGGTAGAATTCCAAATTTGTCATTTTTCACCCATTTTTCAATATTTTAGCTATTTTCAACTTCCTCAAAGCCCCGGGATTAATTCCAACGCCCGGAACACGTCCCGGAGTGCCCGAGAAACCCGGGAAATTTATTTTTTCGGTTTCAAAGTCCGACCCTCGCAGAGCCCGGTTTCTCAATAAAACTCTCGGTTTTATTAGAAACGATCGTTTTATGCAACGAAGTGCTGCCCGGTTATCGTTAAATCATGTGAGTGTATAGTCACCTTCATCTTACACATAGATATGAAGTATTTACCTTAAAATACGTGCTATGTGTAAATATATTAATTGTTTATTTGAGGTGACTGTTGACTTGATATTTTATACAAGTTTTAAACTGTGTATGTATATTTATCTACAAATATGTTGGGTAAAACATGGGTAGATAAATTAGATGATGTGTGATGAAATAAAAGTGATGAGAGATATCAATGTTTAAGATGATCTAGTCATCTAGCAGAGTATAGACAACGACCACAGACTATTTTAGACAGTCCAGTGGAACGTTAGCAGACTTGTAATTGGTAGGTATGTTTGAACTATATGTTCATAAGGTGTTCTCGAACTATACGTTCATTAAGTGTTTGTTTTTGAACTATGTGTTCATCCGTTAGTTCTTCTTTTTGACACTATTACGTGTCGGGGTACGGGAGCGTACGGGAGTACTTTATTAGTATTTTCCCTATGCTTTTATTTTGAAGAGCTTTGGAGTCTTCATTTCTTTTATGAAGTGATCGGACGAGCTTCATGAGTCAGTGTTTTCATTTTCGATGCCGGATAGGGGTGAGTCTGGGGGTTCATACCACAACCTAGGCATTGGTCAGTGTTTTCATTTCCGATGTCGGATAGGGGTGAGTCTGGGGGTTCAGACCACAGCCTAGGCATTAGTCAGTGTTTTCATTTCCGATGCCGGATAGGGGTGAGTCTGGGGGTTCAGACCACAACCTAGGCATTAGTCAGTGTTTTCATTTCCGATGTCGGATAGGGTGAGTCTGGGGGTTCAGACCACAACCTAGGCATTAGTCAGCGTTTCCATTGCCGGATAGGGTGCGTCTGGGGGTTATATACCTCACGATATTCAGACCACAGCCTAGGCAAAGTTCGATGCTGGATAGGGTGCGTCTGGGGGCTACATACCTCACGATATTCAGACCACAGCCTAGGCATTGATAACTTCCCCTGACTTAATTGTCTTGTGGTTCTTTCTTTTACGAACAAAGGTTCGTGGTTAAACTTATTCCATTCATTCGATATCTTTATCGATCCTTGTTTGCTGCTAGGGGATTTCCGAAGCAGTTTCATTAGTTGGTTGTTCATATCGATCCTTTAGGCTAGATCTAGTAAGATCACTGTATAGGATCAGTATGTGGGGATCGACGTTGTTAGTGATTTTAGTATAAGCCTTGGGCAGCGATGGACTTCGTGCCTATTCCTTAGGATGAATCCTTAGGAATGAGTGATAGTTGATTCTTAGGGTAAATCCTTAAGAAATAAATAAGACAATGGGGATTGGATAATTGGGTTGATTGTTTGATGTTTAAGCATAATAAATTATTTATTGTGGGTTGAAAAACCCTATATGCTCACCAGGCTCCCAAGCCTGACCCACTCAGTTTATTTGTATCACAGGTATCGATACGAAGTTGCTTTACACTGATAGATTAAAAAAGAAGTAGATCACTAGTGTAAATGAATGTAAGTTTTGTTTATGCTTATGTTTTTGTATTGACAATGACATCTCAATGGTTTAAGTGAATAAAATACATTTCTTCGGAAATGATTTGATAACATATTTATCATGTTTTTCTGGGAACAAATTCCGCAACACTTTTAATCAAATGATTACTCTGAAATTATTTCAAAAGCATAAATTAAACTGGTCTTTTCTGGCCGTGAATTTGGGGATGTCACACAGGTCGGGGATATGGTTCTCCTGAAGGTGTCACCTTGGAAAGGTGTCATCCGGTTCAGGAAGCGGGGAAAGTTGGGCCCCAGGTACGTCAGTCCTTTCAGGGTTGCTGCCCGGGTGGGCAAGGTGGTATATAGGCTGGATCTTCTAGGCGAGCTTAGTCAGATTCATAGCACCTTTCACGTCTCCCAGCTGCCGAAATGCTTGGTAGACGACTCTACAGTAGTACCTCTCGAGGATATTCAGGTGGATGATAGCCTGAACTACATCGAGCGACCGATAACCATTCTAGATAGGAAGACGAATGCGCTGAGGAACAAGGAAGTAGAGCTGGTGAAGGTGCAGTGGCAGCACCGCAAGGGCTCGGAATGGACTTGGGAGCCAGAGGATGAGATGAGAGAGCACTACCCCGAGTTATTTTTAGCAGCGGCAACGGACTTCGAGGACGAAGTCTAATTCAAGTGTGGGAGATTTGTAGCATCCGGGATTTTCCAGGTGTTATTATTGATCATCTTAATTGAAGAATGGAATGGTTTGGTTTGGGCTTTGACCTTTGGGCTTTATTAGTGGGTTGAGGAAGCTTCGTACGCGGGGCGTACATTGCCATGTACGCCCAGCGTACTCGTGAGGGTGAACCGCGGAGGCCATGCACGTACGCCCAGCGTACCAGGAGTACGCCCAACGTACGTGTGCAACTCCTTAAACCCTAAAATTTAGGGTTTACTCCCTATATAAAGAACATTACCCTGTTTGTTCAGCCTCCCTTCACCCTTATACAGCCTCCACGAAAACCCTAGCCTACTTTTGTGTGTCCTTGTGATTTGGGAGCTATTTGAGAGTACTTTGGTGCTTTGGAAGTGGAAGGAACTTGAAGAAGGAGCAAGGATCCACCAAGAGCTTGTAGATCCAGAAGATTAACACCATTTCTGACTTATTTGAGGTATCAAGTTCCAACCTTGGCCATTATATTCTTAGATTTGTTTATGGGGTGTTTAAGGTTACTTTTGGACTCCATTGTTGAGGCTTCTTGCATCTTAATAATTTCAGACCATAATAGTTGTCCTTTTAGGCTCTTAGAGGCACTAAGAGTCATAAAAATCGGACCTTGATGGTTAAGCCACAACCATGCAAGTGTTAATGGGTCTTAAAGTTTGCTAAAAGGACCAAAATCATGTTTTGACCCCAACCATGCATGCAAGTATATAAAGTCTGTGACTTTATGGTTTAGGAGGTCTTAAAGGACCTGGATCTGCATTTCAGACGTAAAGACTTAATGGATTAAGTCATGAATGAAGTCCCAAAGAAGCTGGCCAGTACGCTGGGCGTACTCCCTGGTACGCCGTGCGTACTGGGTCACCCCCCCCCCCCCCCCGTTTTGGTCAAGGCCAGCGTACGCTGGCCGTACGTGCCAAGTACGCCACGCGTACGCATGCAGAATGGATGTTTTGGGTTTTTTGGGCCTTAAGAGAATGGGCCTGGACTTTTGGGCCCCGTGGCCCACTGTGAAGTATAAGTTTGGACTTGGGAATTTGGAATTAGAGTATTGGGCCTATTAGGCCATGATTGGGCCCTTTGGAATTATTATATGAGGACTCAGAACTTTTTGGGCCCATTTGTGGGTTAAGGCCCAATTCAGAAATTGGGAAATTAGTGGGCCCTTAGGGAGTCCTTGATGGGCCATAGGAGGGCTGGGCTTAATAAACTAGAATTGGGACTTATGAATATTCCAATCGGACCAAGGGGTAAAATGGTCATTTTACCCTAAGTGGTGTTATAGATGCTGACTGAGTATTATTATGATTATGATAGCCGGGAGTCATCAGAGCAACTGTTAGAGGTTACTTCCCGTGAGATTCGACACTCAGCTTGGCGAGGTGAGTTACCTTCTAGTAGTAGTGGGTGTACGGCCACAATGTCGGCCCACTAGTAGGAGTTGTATGTTAGATGATTGTCTTTGTGATAATTATCTAGGTTTGCTACTACTTGATGTGTTTTATGTGCTAGCCTGATATGATGTTAGGTGATAGTAGCAGTAGGGGAAAAGTCCCCGAGTTTGGTCGTTAGGACCGAAAGGTAGGTTGGCCACCCCAGATATGCCTGACATATGTTATGCTATGTTATCTTGTGGTAGTTGTAGGGGTGAAATAGTCCCCGTATCCAGTTGGGATAAACTGGAGCGTAGGTCAAGCACCCCAGAACTGCTTGACATGGGTAGGTCGGGCACCCCAGAATTGCCTGTCAGGGTTGGTCGGGCACCCCAGAATTGCCTGGCGGGGTAGGCCGGACACCCCAGAATTGTCTGGCAGTATGTATATTGTTTGGTATGTGGTATGATGGGGGAACTCACTAAGCTTCGTGCTTACAGTTTTCAGTTTTGTTTGAGATACCTCTTCAGCGAAGGGGAAGGAGTCGGCGCGGTAGTAGCGCATCGCACACATTCTATTTCCGCATTATGACGTTCTTGGGATTGTACTCTGACATATTTATTATTTCATGATATGTTTTTATGACACTTGTCTCATGGGTTATGAGTTGATATGGTATTGATGTTGCTTTTCAATAAACAGTTTTAATAAATTACTTAATCAAAAATGAAATTTTTTAGTCTTAAAATCGGGATTTTACATTTGTACCTATAAATACAATCATTCATATACGTTATTTTTTCATATAAAAGAAATAAATAAAACAAAATAACCCTGCCTAGTGCCTAGTCATGTACGGATTATCTATTCATATGATTTCTCCCCCACAAACTTGACAATGGCGGTTCTCAACTTCACCTTCTGTTGCTCCAAACTTCACTGTCTCCCTCCTTCCAAACCCTCTTCTCCAATTCTTCAAATCCCTTCTTCTCCACAGGTATAGTTTAATTCTCTTTCTTTTTTATCACTTAATTTCATGTTTAATCTTCTTCCTAACATCCATGAAACAAGTAAATTACATGAACAGGTACGAACCCAATACAAAATCACTGATGACTCCCCCATCAGTTTTTCGGAATCCATGTCCAAAGTATGCATAACAGCTCTAGTCTCTGCTTCCCTCTTCTTCGCTGCTGATCCTGCTCTTGCATTCAAGGTTAGTTCATCTCTTCAAATAATTGGGACATAATTTTTTGAAATCATGAAATTGAGTTTTGGGATTCGAAATTCTGATTGATAATGTTTGTGATGTAATTATCCAGGGTGGAGGACCGTATGGTTCTGAAGTGACGAGAGGCCAGGATCTTACAGGAAAGGACTTTAGCGGCAGGACTTTGATTAAGCAGGATTTCAAAACGGTATCATGATATGAAAATTTCGAGTTTCGCAATTGAAATCGCATCAAATTCCTTACAAAACTCGAAATTAATAAGCTTCAATTATAATTCTAGTTCATTGTATTCGGGTTCACAAACACAGATTGTTAATTATATGATCTAGAATCTGTTCAAAAAGTTTTTTGTTCTAACTTTTCTCTCCCCCTCCCCCCTTTTGATCCAGTCGATTTTGAGACAAGCTAATTTCAAGGGTGCAAAGTTACTTGGAGCTAGCTTCTTTGATTCGGATTTAACAGGTGTTTCATCCTTTTTAATAAATCATTAACAAACACCATGTCAATTTGGGATTTTGAAAGTGATGATCTATTTCATGATTTCAGGAGCTGATCTTTCAGATGCAGATCTTAGAGGCGCAGATTTCTCATTAGCAAACGTAGCAAAGGTGAGAAAATCCTTCAAATAACCAATCACTACATGATCATAACAAGGAATTCAATTCACTTCCTTTTTTCTCGAATTTTTACAGGCGAATTTGACAAATGCTAACTTGGAAGGAGCACTGGTTACAGGGAACACATCATTCAAAGGATCAATCATAACAGGCGCAGGTTAAATTACAATTACATTCTGTAAAAAAGATTGTGTTTTTTTTTCAGTTTTATAAAAACTTTGTTATTCTGGACAGATTTCACTGATGTCCCTCTAAGAGAAGATCAAAAGGAATATCTTTGTAAAATTGCAGATGGGTAATCTATGTAAATTGTGCTCATTTCTTTGCGTATGTTTTTGTGTGGAGTTCTAAAAATGATTCAAATTTCACTGCTTCTGTATTTTCAGGGTGAATTCTGTAACAGGCAATGAAACACGAGAGACATTGTTTTGCAAGTAGCATGGCTTGTTGTTAATTCTTAAGTTGTGTAAAAACTTTATCATTCTTTTAATTTTATTTTTTGAAAAGTTCCCTCATTTTTGATTGAGGATCATCTTATGTTGGTGTTTGTTGAATTCTTAACATAAAAATTAAAAGCTATAGAGATAAGTTGATATCATTAGATAAGATGTTATCCATGTTCCATGTTCCAGCTTTCGGCTATCAAACAACTAGCAATTAGTTTTGACTAACATGGCCTACTTACTATCTAATGTTAGGAATATCTAGGGGTGACATACGAAAATAAACGGATTTGCATTGAGATTTCTGACCGCCAACCCGCCAAATAAATGGGTCGTGTTTGTGTTAGTATTTGGGTTCGGGTGTCAACCCGCCAACCCATATAATATATTTGATTAAAAATTATGTTGAATATTTATATACCTATTAAGTCTTGTTATGATATGTTTGTTTTTGCCCCTTATGATATTTCCGTTTTAGATCTAATTATAATATATCATATTTAAAAATAATATTTAGTATTTGGGTTCACGGATAAACCTGCCAACCCGTTATCTGAATGTGACCCATGAACCCGAATCTGACCCGCAAACCTGTATAATTAAACGAGTTGTGTCTGGATTGATGTTTTCAACCTGCCAACCCGTAATACGAATAATTATATGGGTCGTGTATGTGTTGATATATTTTGATCCGCCAACTCAAACACGACAAAAATGCCACCCCTAGGAACATCCTTTCTATCAAAGAATCTTGATTTCATCAATGGATTGGTTCAAACACCGGAGAGACTAAGGGTGCATTTGGTTGTGGAAAATTGTTTTCATTTTCTGAGAAAATGTTTTCAGAAAATAGAGTTGAGTTTTCATTTTCAATTTTCAATGAAAATTTTAGAAAATGCGTTTGGTTGGAACCGGTGGAGTTTTCATTTTCCATCTTAGAAATTTGAAAAACTGTAAAAATCACTTTTCTAATTTACGTACAATTTGGAAAACTGAAAATTTTCATTTTCTTGGAAAATTTTGGAAAACTAAACGAACCAAACGCGTTTTCAAAATTTCCGTTTTTCTTGAAAAAAATTCCAAAAAAACTGGAAAAATTTTCCACAACCATACACACCCTAAAAGTGTTATGGAAAAGTCATTTAGGGACGAATTATCCAAATCTTCGAACTATAAACTAATATTCATAACTTGTATGTATATTGACAGTTTTTGTGATTTAGGCTTTAATTTATTTTGATATTTATTTAGTAATGTTACTAATAAGTTCAGTAAATCAACCCGTACCTTGGTGGATCACCGGATAGAGTATGTGCCGTAGTTTTGAAAAGAAGTTGCTTAAGATCATGGTCGAGCACGAGCTCTCTCCACATATCCTCCCAAAGCGGAGAGTTGTAGTGGGCGGTCAAGACCCGTTTTAAGAAGTTCTATAATTAAATAGTTCTTTTTATACAATTACAAAGTAAGTGTATAATAGAAGGTAGGTAAGAATAAAACTAAAATAAACTACATATAAATTTAAAATGAAATATTACCTAAACGTTAAAAAGAAAATGTGTCAAAACTTAAACCAAATATGGCAAAATGAGAGGTTTGGAAGGCTAATAACTAGAGCTTACGTTTGATCTGAAAATGAATAATCACAAAAATAACCAAACATGATATAGGTAAAAAATGAGAGGTTTGGAAGGCTAAATAACTAGAGCTTACATTTGTAATGAAAAAGAATAATCACAAAAATAACCAAACATGATATAGGTAATATCACAGAATAACTATTTTTTTTTAAAGAAAATGACAATTTATTTTGCAAATATGACCATGCAAAATAACTTTAAATGCGCTATTTTGTTTATACTAGATTGAATGCGAGTTATTTGTGAAATTCAATAGAAATCTACAAAATAAGCTGATGTCATGTGTCAAATTAGGTGGGCGTTGGAGCACTTCATCTCCATCGTTGTTGGCGATGATCCCAACATGGTGTATTGTTCTCATTTACGAGATACAAAATTTTAGGGAAACTTATAGGCATGGTTTTTTTGTTATTCATAGAAGGTTGTAGATGAGAATAAACATGCACGGAAGGGTAGTTAGGATTCAGTGACCGAATCTAACCGAATCTAGAAATCGGTTTCTAACGAGTGAAAAGAGGCGGTGATATAGTGATAAACTAAGAAGAAGGGGTGGGTAAGATTTGCTAGAAAAATATGCGAATCGTTTTTTCATGTATGGGATACCGAAAAATTCTTGTTGGATTTCATCCATGTGGCGAAATCGTTTTTTGCTTTTTAGAATGATCGAGTTCACGGATGGTATAAGACAAAATACTTGTTCGATTTCTTCAAAAGAAACATATTAGAAGAAAGGACTGTGGTCGAAGATGGTGGTCACTCGGAAATGGGTAGTCTTTGTTTCATTCTGTACATGTCAGATCATAAATTAGTAACTGCATCCAATTTCTAAAAAAATCCAAATTATTTCCATTTTTGGAATGAAATATTTATGGAATCTCTATGAATAGGATCAAACCTCATTCCATGGTATTTATATGAGGTTTTTCTTTCTTATTTTAAAGAAAGTCCCCGAGAGGGCTTAGTTGATTCATGATTTATGTTTCTTCTTTCGTTTCCTTTTCGTTTGTTTCGAGAAATATATCGATCAATTTCGATTCTTTCTTTTTTCTCTTGATTCTTTTCCAACGGTGGAGATGATTTCACTCATTTTAGAAAAATAAATAAACATAATATGTGCCCAATTTATTTTTAAAACTTTAATAATAAATAGATTGAAAAATAAATAAATAAGGCACTGTAGTAATTTAATATATGAGATGGACAAAAATTATAACAAAATCAAACCATAAGGATAATCTGAACAAAAAAAACATTTAGCTACGAACTGGTATAGATCAACCCACAAAGGATTTATATAATTTGGAGTAAATTCAATAAATCAGACGGTCCATGTGGTATTTTGTTGTGGTTTTCGACTCTGGCAAACATAAAATTACTCTTCGCTGTTGTTTGAACTTTCTTATTATTTGTTTTATTATTTACATTAATAATATTTAAATGGCTCGCCATCTTATCCCCTAAAATCCACAAACTACATTACAAACCCAACATGCCTCAATCTCTTCATGTAGTCTTGTCGCTCTCGTTGACCAAAATCATCGGTGTCTACATCGTTCACGATTGGACCAGAGAGTCCAACCTCTTTATCCAACTAAATTTAATTGACCTTACTAATATCAGCTTCGTCGTCAGTGTTATCGACCACCATGGTCTAGCCTCAAACTTTGTATCTTTGACATCAATCCAGACACTGATGACAATATTTCGTTCTTCAACTCTTTCTTACAAAACATGCATTATCACTTCCTTGCTATACTTTGAACCCCTCGATGGCGCCATTGCTCTCATCGACTCCTCGTCGGCATGCACCTGACGAAGCAGGCAACCCCTTTGATGAATTATTAATCAATAATGTTATGTGTGGAATTAGCGACAAATACAAGTATTTGTGGTTGTTGGAGCACATTCTCATCGTTATCGTTGCATTGATATCCATGCATGATTCCCACATACGGTTTTGTTCAACAGAAATTTGGAGAAACTAAAACCCATGGTTTTTCTGTTATTTGTAGGAAATTGTAGAGAGTAATAAGAAGAAACAAGCAAGCATGGGGGTGGCTAGGCTTCGGTAGCCGAATTCACACCACTTTTTTTTCATCCATGGGATTACATAAATTTTGTATCGTGGATGAAATCCTTTTTCAAAATGATTGCGTTTAGGGATGAGATGCCATAAAATATTTGGGGCGAGTGTGACCAGGAACGTTTAGGAGCTTCTGACTTCTAGCTTTTAACAAAACGTTTTAGTTCAAACAAAAAGTTTCGTTTGACAATACAAGTGTTTAGCTTTTAGTTTTAACAAAACACTCAAATTACTTCATGTAGCGTTTAACAAAACGTTACTGGGCTTTTTAAATCAATTCCAGAATTACACTTAAAAATATATTTATATATTTATTTTTTAAAAAAATTATCTTTTTATCTAATTTTATATATTTCAAAAGCTTTTGTCAAAAACTCATATAACAAATAAAAACTACAACTTCTAGCTATCAGCTACCAGCTACCCGCTACTCATTACCCGTTACCCGTTACCAGCTACCAGCTAACAACTATTTTTGTCAAACACGCATTTGTTGGATTTCAACGAAAAACATATTAAAAGAGAAGACGGTGGGTAAAGATGGTGGGCGAAATGCGTAAACTTAGGGCCTGTTTGATTTGGACTTACCGGGTTCAGTCAGTGCTGACTGCTGACTCGGTCAGCAGTCAGATGTTTGATAATTACATATTATAGCTGATTCGGTCAGCCCATTCCACTTACTCGGTCAGTCCAAAAAAACCTCCTGACTGGAAAATAAGAAGGCTACGCGTTTTTTGCCCTTGCTCGCCTCCAGCCTCCTTCGCCAATACCCTAGACAAAAGTCGATCCCCAACACCTGTTGATCGCCTCCATCGCCAACAACTTCTACCGCGAGTTCACCTCTTGCGCCATCTTCCCCGGTGACGACCACACAGCGCCGGTGACGAGCTCTACTGCAGGTAACGTTTCTGCGTTTTTTTTTTTTTTTTTTTTTTTGCTTTTTTTTTCTGAAATCACAAAACCCTTCATATTTGTTGTCAAATTACTGATTTCATTCTGAAATCAAAGTTTGAAATTACTTCTTTCATTATTCTTGGATTCAATTAGTTTGAAGGGTTAGCATAAAATCAATTCATAATGTGTTTTTGTTTATGAAATCTGATTTTATGTATATGAAGTAATGAATATTTGTGTATGAAATCTGATTTTCTCTATATGAACTAATGTGTGATTTTAACATGAACTAATGTTTGAATAAAATCAGATTTTAGGTTGCTGAAATCAGAAAATGTTGAATATGTTGTACATGTTTGTGTGAAATCAGAAATTAAATATTGTTATATGCTTATGAGATCAAAATTTATTTGTATGAAATCAAAATTTATGTTGTATATGTTGTTGAAAATGTGATGAAATCACATTTATGCTTGATTTATTTGTAAATGTGTGTTATGTGGATGATTTAGCTATTTTTTTTTTC